GGAACAACATTTTTACAACTTGTTTGACTTAAATAATCTCACCACCGGCCACAATTTCAACCGTACGTTACAACTGTTTTTGTTTTCAGAATTACAGGTTAAAAACCTTATCATGTAAAAACATTTCCAGGATGTTTCTTCTATATTTAGGGTTCTTTCAAACCCCACGTCTCCATCTCAACTACATATGAATTGTCCCACAAATCCCTTTCGATATCATCTGCGCTTCTGTTCTGTTTCCAGACAAATTCATTGCACTTTTTTTTGGACCAAATAAAACAAGATAACGTGAAACCACTCCTCAAGCAATCAACGGTAGTTAGCTTAAAAAGAGAAACGTTAAATTCTGATATTAGTCTTAGGATACTTAAATATATATACTCTGTGGGACACAAATATTTATTTATTTTTACCATATTATATATGGCTACGATATTATATTTATATGGAGTATTTCACAATATTATGTACCCATAATTAATATTATCTTAAAACCACCAATGGTAATCAATCAAATTATAAAGATTGGTAGGGCATGAAGGGAGTAGGATAGGATGCTTCTCCGATTTATCGTCAGTTTCCTGTGTGTTTATGTTAGTAGTACGACTGTTTTCAGTCCACAGGGTGGAATAATAAAAGTGTACCTAACATTGCTTTATAATAAACTATATGATCTTTTATTTGCAGAGGAATAGACTCTTTTATGAACAGAGAATTACCTACTAACCAATCGAACAAAATTAAAAATAAAGAACCCTAACTACTACCATTCTGATGCATACGCGTATCACATGTGCGTCATACATTTTTTATAACTTTCTAATCTTAATCTTCCGAAATTTTTTTCCCGAAAAGTGTTTTTTAAAATAATTTAAAAGATAAAGCACCATGCACTTTCTTCTTCGGCTTTCATCTCTATCCTTGCAGTCTTAACCCTAAAACGTTTGGAATGCAACTTGGACCGAAATTTTTGTCTATTTCTCCGACACAGGTTTTAGTGGAAAGCAATCGCCATTTCTCGCTCTTCTTCATTATTAATACGGAGTAAGTCAATATTTATTTAAAAATAATCCTCAATCATTTTATATTAAACTCTAACACCTCCGGTATTTTGGTGCTCAAACTCGAGACCTCAAGGAATAACAGCAATTTCTTTATCACCGAAGCCATTTGGTTCACAATAACATTAATCTAGAAAATACATATTATATACTTTGTATTTTTATTAATATTACTTTATATTTTATATATTATAAGTGTATTAACTTATGCTCTTATCCTATCAAATCTATCATTTATTGATTTTAGTGATTAAACTTTTTAAAATTTTAATAATTAATATTTTAAATAATTATAGCAAATCTCTCAACAATGAAAAAAAAGGTTAATTTTTTATACATCATGTAGTTTACTGATTTTATTATTAATGTCAATCCTATAATATATATCACAGATGGAAAAGACTAAATATTGTGCTTGTCTTAATCAGCAAGTTTAAAATTTTCCAATGTACTTATCTTTAAACTGCAAATTGCATGCAAATAGATGGCAAGAGACACGTATGGCCAAAAGGCAAAGGGTTGGAATCTCAGGTGTGGACTACTCTAATCTCTTATAATTATAAATAACTTGACTTAATTAGAGGACGGGACAATTAAAGTTTTATTTTCGTTTTAACAGCTTAATTAATTTAAGGGTTAATGTGCCTTTTGACTCATGATTTAGCCTTTATCTACAATTCGACCCCTAACTCTTTTGGCGGTAAAATTTAGCTTCTAACTTTGGTTTTGAACTATAATTTGACCACTAATTTTGGCTTTAAACTATGATTTGGCCATTGACGATTTTTTTATGCAATTTGATCTCTGATTTTAGTTTTGATGTGTAATTTGATATCGGATTGTTTTTATAATTTTAAAATGATAATTAATATTTTATTTATAAATTAAAGTTATATGAATGAATTGTTAATATGTATATTTAAAATTTTAATTTAATATAAATTTACATATTTAATTAAGGATAAATCTATATTAAATAAGTTAGCGGATAAATCTATAGAAAGATTAAGGGTCGAATTGCAATTTAAAATTAGAGTCAGAAGCAAGTTACACTAAAAGTAAAAGGTCAATCTGTTGTAAGTCAAAAATCAAATAAGGAGCAAAAGGTTAAGCCTTAATTTAATTAAGTCGATACCCTCAGTTTTGCGTTACTAACTTACTAGCCGTGTGGTAGTATTTGCACATCAATTGCTAATTTACGTGGGGACACATGCAATTACGTCCGTCCATAAAAAATCAACAAATAAAAACTACGTAATTAATACTACTATCAATTTCTTGGTTTAAATACATGACATGTGTATGTATAAATGGTTTAAATACGCATTCTTCTATTATAATTTAAGATTCAACAATAATGGATGTTTAATTATTTTAATTTAGAAATATGAATATTAAATTTTCTTTGAGTAGTTTATAGTAATTATAAGGTAATATTTATTCATAATATTTTAGTCTATTGAGAATATATATAATTCCTATTAAGTTTATAACTATTTAAATTCAAACATTTAAAGAAAAATAGCATATTCTTTTATCACGAAAATCAATATAAATACTTAATATTTTTAAATTATTCTAATGATATTATATAAACCGTTTAATCATTATATTATGCATTTTGCAGAAGGGTTTGTCATGTAGCAAACAAATAAAATTATGGATAAAACGTCACGAAATGAAATGATTAAAGACTTTGAAAACTAATTTAATATTAATTTTGTTACTGTTGCATGTCTTTATATGTATGTTGTGGGAATTACCTACTGAACCAACTGTTTAAGGACCCACTTGTCCGTCGACCAAACCGGGCAGAAAGATAAATTCCTTGTATCGGTTCTATGTTTTTTAGTGATGTTATTGATCATGAATATATAATGTACATCAATCGGTCAATTTAAAAAAAATCGACAAGGGGTAACCACCTCTAAAATGAAGCACGTATTTTCATTATCATTGGTGATTTTTATATTTTTAGTTTGGTGTCGAAGAGGAAGAAGAAAAAAACACTGATATTTAAGGGTATGATGGGTTTCATAGATCATATATGGAAAAAAAAACTTAAGATTTGAGCTAGGGTAAATATTATACACTTAATTATTGGTATACCATATGGATTGAGTTAGATTGTTCGAATATTTCTTTTGAGGTAAAAAGGATACATAAAAGCCATGTACTTCTAAAAAAAATCAATGTGACTTTTGTACTATTTTTTTCTTTTCAATGTGCCCTTCAACTAAAAAAAATGCAATGTGTCCTTTGTTGGTTTTTGGAAAATATCTCACATTGGTTTTGTATAAGGAGGAGGGGAAATTCTTTTGTTATAAATAGAGCTCTCCTCCTCCTTAGTTTAGCATCCCACAAATATAAGCCTTCTTCACTATTAAAGGCTATTTGTACACTTTCTCTCTTTGTAATATTTCCTCTACTAGTGAAATATTATTTTAGTAGTGTGCGAGGAGGTAGACATATTTTGGCATAACCTCGTAAATTTTGGTGTTCTCTTTATGTCTATTTAATAGCTATTGTCGGGTATAGTTGTTGTTAATTATTGTCATATTAAAATTACTTATATTGGTAGTTCTGTCTAAGGAAAGTGGGTTTTAAGAGGGACCATTGTGAACCCTCCTCTTTCCTGGGAATCTACCTTGGTGTGATTTTTAGTACAATCATTTTCACACTAGTCACCTAGATAATAATTTAAAAGGTGAATTTGTTATTATTGGTGGAAATTAACCCGAATTCCACAACAATTGGTATCAGCGCTCTTGGTTTATTTTAGTATGCTCTGTGGTTGCGGCTTAGGCTGGTCTTCCACATCAGAAAAAAAATTCCTTAAGATAATTGGCATTCCGCATTGACAGCTATTAAATAGAATTTGTAGCAGAAATGGCAGACGCAACAAAAACGTCCATATCGTCGTCAACAACTGTGACAAATGTTAGATTTGCAGTGGAGATTTTTGATGGCACCGGTCATTTCGGCATGTGGCAAAGTGAGGTTCTAGATGCCCTATTTCAGCAGGGTCTAGACATTGCTATTGAAGGAGAGAAACCAGATGATGTTGAGGAGAAAGAATGGAAGAGGATCAATACATTGGCATGTGGTACTATTCGATCGTGTCTTTCAAGAGAGCAGAAGTATGCATTTTCTAAGGAAACTTCTGCAAGTAAATTCTGGAAGGCACTGGAGGAGAAATTTTTGAAGAAAAGCGGTCAGAACAAGCTCTACATGAAAAAGAGATTTTTCCGCTTCAACTATGTACCAGGTACCACTATGAATGATCACATTACTAGCTTTAATCAGCTGGTGACTGATCTGATAAATATGGACGTGACTTTTGAAGACGAAGATATGGCTCTGATGTTGATGGGATCACTTCCTGATGAGTTTGAGTATCTTGAAACTACTCTACTTCATGGGAAAGTTGATGTGTCTCTCAGTGAAGTAACTGCTGCCTTGTATAGTTATGAATTGAGAAAGAAAGACAAACAAGAAAACACAAGTGTCGAAGCAGAAGCTCTTTTTGTTAGAGGTCGTTCGAAGAGTCAGAATAAAGGAAGGAGAGGGAGATCGAAGTCAAAGTCCAGATTGAGAAAAGATGAATGTGCCTTTTGTCGAGAAAAAGGGCACTGGAAGAAAGAATGTCCCAGGCTAAAGAACAAAGGCAAACCTGAAAGGGGAAAGGCTGTCTCAGAATCAAATGTGGTCGAGTATGATGATGCAAATTCAGATTTCGTATTCGCTGCTACGCCATCAACCAGTTGTTCCAGTTCATGGCTGTTAGATTCAGCTTGTAGCCACCATATGACCCCCAATAGAGAATGGTTCTTTGATTTTAAAGAACTAAAAGGTGGAATTGTCTACACAGCAAATAATTCCCCTCTTGACACACTTGGGATTGCTTCAATTCGCTTGAGGAATTAGTATGGATCAATCAGAACCTTAACAGGTGTCCATTATGTACCAGATTTAATGAGAAATCTCATCTCTGTGGGAACCTTAGAGTCAAAAGGTTTAGAAGTGAGGGCAAAAGATGGGATTATGAGGATTATCTCTGGTGCACTGATGATAATGAAGGGAATCCGGAAAAGAAACAATGTGTATTACTTTCTGGGTAGTACAATTGTTGGGACAGCAGCAGTGTCAGCTTCTACTGATGAACAAGAGTCAGAAGCAACCAGGTTATGGCATATGCGCTTGGGGCATGTTGGTGAAAAATCCTTGAAATTGCTGATAGATCAAGGATTATTGAAGGGTGCTCGGGCTTGCAAATTAGCTTTTTGTGAGCATTGCATCAAAGGGAAGAAGACGAGGGTGAAATTTGGAACAACAATCCATGATACTAAAGGTATTTTGGATTATGTTCATTCAGATGTATGGGGGCCTTCTAATACAACTTCATTGGGAGGAACACACTTTTATGTCACCTTTGTTGATGATTTTTCCCGGAGAGTTTGGGTGTATACAATGAAGACAAAGGATGAGGTGCTAGGATTTTTCCTTAAATGGAAAAAGATGGTGGAGACTCAAACAGGTAGAAAAATCAAACGTCTCCGTACAGATAATGGTGGAGAGTACAAAAATGATCCATTTCTAAAAGTCTGTGAAGAAGAATATATTGACAAGCATTTCACTGTCAGAAGTACACCACAACAAAATGGGGTGGCAGAGCGTATGAACCGAACATTAGTGGAGAAGGTTCGGTGTATGTTGTCTAATGCTGGGTTAGGCAAAGAATTTTGGGCTGAGGCTTTGGTCTATGCTTGTCACCTTGTCAACCGCTTACCATCGACTGCTATTGGTGGTAAAACACCATTAGAGAAATGGTTTGGAGTACCTGCTACAGATTATGATTCTTTACATGTGTTTAGTTCCACTACATACTACCATGTTAAGGAGTCAAAGCTGGATCCAAGAGCAAAGAAGGCGATCTTTATGGGGATCACCTCTGGTGTGAAAGGCTATCGTCTTTGGTGTCCAGAAACAAAGAAAATAATCTTCAGCAGGGATGTTACCTTTGATGAATCTACCATGTTGAGAAAGGCGACTTCAGAAAAATTAGAGCAGACAGATGGAACTCCCAAATAGGTGGAGTTTGAAGGAAGCAGAATTGACCCAGTCAGTAAAGAAACTGATGTTGACTCTTCTATGGTAGAAGAAGAGTCAGATGAAGAAGAGGTTTAGACCCAAGAACCTCCACAGCAACATGAATCAATTGCACTCAGAAATGGAAAGAGGACCAATAGACAACCTGCTCGTTATGCTGATATGGTCTCTTTTGCATCACCAATTGCAATTGATGACATTCCTGTCACTTTTAATGAAGCAGTCCAAAGTTCAGAACATAAAAAGTGGAGGATCGCCATGAATAAAGAAATGCAATCCCTTTAAAAGAATCAAACGTGGAAACTAGCTAGTCTTCCGAAGGGAAAAAAGGCAATTGGGTGCAAGTGGGTATATGCAAAGAAAGATGGATTTCCTAATAAGAATAACATCCGCTACAAAGCAAGATTGGTGGCTAAAGGCTACGCTCAAACGGAGGGAGCTGATTATAATGAAGTATTTTCTCCAGTTGTAAAACATTCCTCCATCAGAATTTTATTGGCTTTGGTAGCACAGTTGAAATTTGGAACTAATTCAGATGGATGTAAAAACTGCACTTTTACATGGAGACTTGGATGAGGAAATCTACATGACTCAGCCAGATGGATTCAAAGTTGCTGAAAAAGAAGAGATGGTGTGCAAATTAGAAAAATCGTTATACGGATTGAAGCAATCTCCAAGGCAGTGGTACAAGCGATTTGACAAGTTTATGATAGGGCAGAAGTACACAAGAAGCAAATATGATCATTGTGTGTATTTACGCAAGCTACAATACGGATCCTATATATATCTTCTTCTTTATGTTGATGATATGCTGATAGCTTCCAGGAGTCAGACAGAAATTGCGAAACTAAAGACTCAATTGAACAGGGAGTTTGAGATGAAGGATCTTGGTGAAGCAAAGAATATTCTAGGCATGGAGATATCAAGGGATAAGAAATTGGGGAGGCTTTGTTTGTCTCAGAAAGAATATCTGAGGAAGATACTAAAATGTTTTGGCATGAATGAGAAGTCAAAACCAGTTAGTACACCTCTTGCTCCTCATTTCAAGCTCGGTGCATCCATGTCACCTAAGGATGATGCAGAACGGGAATACATGTCAAAGGTTCCGTATGCAAGTGTTGTTGGTAGCTTAATGTATGCAATGGTGTGTACGAGACCCGATATTTCACAGGTAGTTGGGGTTGTGAGCAGGTATATGCATGATCCTGGAAATGAGCATTGGGAAGCTGTGAAATGGATTCTGCGGTATATTCTGAACACCATAGATGTTGGTTTGGTCTTTCAGCAGGACAAACAAGATGGTCAGTGTGTAGTTGGGTATTGTGATTTTAGACTATGTAGGTGATTTGGACAAGCGTCGATCAACTACTGGTTATGTGTTTACATTTGTAAAAGCACCAGTCAGTTGGAAGTCCACCTTACAGTCAACAGTGGCTTTGTCTACTACAGAGGCTGAGTATATGGCAGTTACAGAGGCTGTGAAGGAGGCAATTTGGCTTCAAGGGTTGTTTGGTGAATTGGGAATGAAACAAAAGCACATCAAAGTGCACTGTGACAGTCAGAGTACTATTCATTTAGCAAAGAACCAAGTTTACCATGCAAGGACGAAGTACATCGATATTCGATATCACTTTGTACGAGAGATTCTAGAAGAATGTGGAGTCATAATCCAGAAGATTCGGACCACTGAGAATCCTGCTGATATGTTGACAAAAGTGGTAACTGCGGTCAAGTTTAAACATTGTTTAGACTTGGTCAATATTGTTACAAATTGAAAGATGAATTTGCAGACACTACTGAAGATTGAAATTTTTTGAGAGACATGTGTGGAATTTTCCAAGGTGGAGATTTGTTGGTTTTTGGCAAATATCCCACATTGGTTTTGTATAAGGAGGAGGGGAAATTCTTTTGTTATAAATAGAGCCCTCATCCTCCTTAGTTTAGCATCCCACAAATATAAGCCTTCTTCACTATTAAAGGCTATTTGTACTCTCTCTCTTTGTAATATTTCCTCTACTAGTGAAATATTATTTTAGTAGTGTGCGAGGAGGTAGGCATAATTTTGGCCTAACCTCGTTAAATTTTGGTGTTCTCTTTATGTCTATTTAATAGCTATTGTCGGGTATAGTTGTTGTTAATTATTGTCCTATTAAAATTACTTGTCTTGGTAGTTCTGTCTAACGAAAGTGGGTTTTAAGAGGGATCATTGTGACCCCTCCTCTTTCCTGGGAATCTACCTTGGTGTGATTTTTAGTACAATCGTTTTCACACTAGTCACCTACATAATAGTTTAAAAGGTGAATTTGTCATTATTGGTGGAAATTAACCCGAATTCCACAACATCCCTTTGACTAATGTTTTTCGTCATTGACCAATAGTTTAATTTGTTAAATCTTGTTGATGTGGATGCTTTCTCAAGTATGTTACGAAGGGAATACTTCTTGCGACTGTTGGTAGAGACATTTATAATAAGTTTCTGGTTGCATGGGTAGTTGTTGAAGGGGAAAGAAAATAATCATGTAGATGATTTTTGAAGAAACTTATGATTGACTTAGAGCATCCTAATGACGAAAGACCTAACGGAAAACATTGGTCAAAGGGTCATATTATTTTTTTTTTTGAGTTGAAGAGTCACATTAAGAGAAAAAATAGTACGAGTGACACATTGGTTTTTTAAGAGTACATGGACTTTGCGTACCCTTTTATCTTCCTTTTATCATTCAAGATTTGATTTATAATTTTAATTATTGTTAATCGAATATATTTTTATATAATATTAATATATTTTTATAATTAAATGAAATTTTTTTAATTTTAAATAATAATAAATATTTAAAAAGTGTTTCATATAAAACTTAAGTTATTTATATTTTTTGAATTCAAATTATTATAAATTAATGATGGTAGTTGAATTAAAATTTTATATGTATGAAATATTTAATTGTTAAATAATAAATTGGATATGGTGGAGGAAAGCTAAATTTAAAAAAAAAAATCTTGTATAAGTAGCAATTTTGTTTGGACAGTGTGTTAAAAAAATATTTTTTTATAAAGAGTGATATATTTTATTTGTTCAAATGAGAATATTACAGTGTTTGGAGAATATGTTTCAATCACCTGACGTCTTTGACAGAAAACGTAGAGAAGATACGTCATTTTTTCGTAAGCTTATTTGAGAAATTTTATTATTATTAGTGACTATATTTAATAAAGTAAATTTTAATCATTAGTTTGTACTAAAGTATTTATAAAATAAATGAAGTTATTAAATTTGTTAAATTTTAATATTTATATTTAATTATTACTTAAAGAATTTTTTAAATGACATGAACATGAAAATATTTATTTATAAAAAAACAATTCGTTTTTTACGAATAAATGATATGAAGATGAAGAAATTCTAAAATAAACATGAATTATTTTAATAATATGAACATGAAAATATTTATAAAATAAATAAAATAATTTTAATTAGTAAAAGTTAATTAGAATTCATTACTTCCATATGACGAGTAAAAGAATTTAAAATTCTACTCGTTACCCGATGTTTAGTTAGTGGCTATAATTTTTAAATTTAAAAAAGAACTTGATACGCCCACATAACGAGTTTCGTAATTATTTTTTTAAAATTTATAATATTATATATTATTTTAATTATAAAAAATTAATATATTTTAAAATAACTCATCATATAAAAGTGTCGAGTTTACCTTACCCTTAACAAAGATTATAATTATAAATTATAAATTAATGTTTAAATTAATCTGTTAAATCAAATAATTAAAATTTTACATATCGCTACACCTAGACTCACTACAGATATTACGGGAAAACGAATCTCAACCATCAATTTGTATTTTCACTTATTAAGGGTCTAGATCAATTATAAACAAGATCCGCACTCTGCCCCTGGACTCCCTCTATATATTTCCATTGAACTCACTGTCACTCTGAAAAACCTACGATAACCCAAAAAGGAATCAAAAGGAGAGCGAACAAAACAAACAGAGCAATTTTCTTTATAACCTGTAAAGATGGCGTCGGCGAGTACTTGGATGTTGTCGTTAAAGATGCTCTTTATTTCTACGGGTATATTGGGAATAGCTATGGAGCTTAAAGTCTCTGTTCCATTAATTCTGGAATTTTGTGTCTCTCAAGCTCCGTTATGGTGGAGTACGTTCCGTTCTTGGCTCGAGCCTCCGTACCTTTACGTCATTATCAATGGAATCATCATCACAATTGCAGCATCGTCGCGGTTTAACCTAAACAACAGCGAGAAAGATCAGACGGAGCAGATACAACAGCAACCGAAGATCTCGGTGGATCAACGGCCAGTGGAGGAGTACGATATAAAGAGCGGCTGGGAATCCGATGTAGTAGAATCCAATGTTTTCCTTTACGAGCAAAATCATAGAGGAAAAGAAGTGGAAACGATGATTATTGAGGACGAGAACAATGTGGCGGTTGAAGATGACCGAAATGGAGATGACGAGTTCGTTATATCCATGTCGGAGATTATTCCTCCAACTAGAACGATTTCTTCGGAGATTCCATTGGATGCTCTGTTTCCACAGGAGAAACCTGCGCTTTCTTCTAGATATGGTCACCGGAAACATGTCAAAGCCAATCTTGAAGGTATATTCAGCATTTCCCTCTTGAAGGTATATTTTGTCTATATCTAAGTTGTCGAAATTCAAAAATAAAATTAGAAAAAAGCTTAGAAAATCCTTTTCGGGAGAAGCCTCTCTCCGGTAGCTTTTCAGTTCTTTTATCCTCATGTTCAGCAATGCGTCTACCTGACGCGCCAATTGGAAAAAATGAGTCCAAAACAGTGGTACGATGAAAAAGTGAAGCATTCGTAATTAAGGAGTAATTAGTTAATTAATTAATGCTGTGCGGATGGTGCTAATACAGGTGGGCTAGCGTTGAGAGTGGCGAAGCCAAAACGGCATGAGACGCTGGAGAACACGTGGAAGATGATAATGGAAAAGAAAGCAAAGCCGCTGTCGAGACACTTGCAGAAGTCGGACAAATGGGAAAATCACGGCCGAGATATCAACATGCAGGCATCGCCTGTGATGAAGAAATCAGAAACGTTCAGGGACCGGACTAATTATGAGCTGCCACCTGTACCAGTAAGCTCTTTTCCGACTTGGGGAAAGCCGAGGAAAGAACCGTCACTGAGTCAGGAAGAGTTGAATCGTCGGGTGGAAGCTTTTATACAGAAATTTAACGAGGAGATGAGGCTACAGAAACAAGAATCGCTTAATCAGTATATGGCGGAAGTTGGCCCCTAAATTACCATAGTTATATCAGATTAGTTTTTGGAAATTTGTTTGCTCCAATAAGTTTTATATGATTGGAGACTTGTTTTTTAAGGTAGGTTTTATATTTTTGACGGTTTGGGTGTTGATCCTATGAATTCATAGTCATAGGAATTAATAATTTACTGGAGTACGAATTTTTACTTGGCGGGAAAAGTAAAATGAATAAATGATTTTGATTTTAAAAAATGTTTTGGGTGTCGTCATTGATTTTTTGTGTTAGGTAGGTCAAATACCTAAAAATAATCTTTTAAAATAGTTTTTAATAAAACATAATTTAAAAGATAAATTGATCTGTATAACCAAAAAAATTTAGTAAAAAGGGGATTCGTGGTCGGTTACGTTTAGGAAGATTAGCACCCCTATAACGCCCAAAATTGGTACCATTAATTATAAATTGTCTCTATTATTAAAAATTTAAGAATTCAAAAATATATTTAATTCATAATCATGTGATTTCAAATTTATTAGTATAATTCCAAGAAAATATTAACTTTTATAAATATATATTTTGTATATTTTTATAAATAATATATTTATTTACTTAAAAATATCAAAAAAACTTCTAGTTGCTTTAAGACATTTATTTTCTTAATATTAAAAAAAATAAATATTAATAAAACATTTCTCTAAAAATAATTAATATATATATATATAATTTAAAAGTAGGATATTCAATTATTTAAAAATATCAAAAAAAGACTTTTAGTTGATTTAAGCAGTCATTTTCTTAATATTTAAATATTAATAAGAATATGATAATATAATTCGAAATATCATAAAATATAAGTATTAATAATGTGGTTTAACCATAATTAATTAATCGGAATATCATAATGAATTATATATATATATATATATTTGTAACACCCCTAACTCATATTCGACCTGAATACAAGTCCAAGATGTCACATTGACTTTTTAAACTTTAATTCTTAAAGAAAAATCCCGGGAATTTAAAACTTTCATTAAAACAAAATACTTTAATTTAAATAAAAGAGACCACTTAATACAAAATCGATCAGAGCATTCGTAATTAACCACTTATTACATACCAACACTTTATACACAACAAAATACCTACTTTGTCAATTACTTATGATCTGATTTCTTAGTAATGTTGTTGTCGTGCCACTGTTATTCTGAATCTTCTTATTTCTTGGTACATACGTGTAAATCACTTACACGCTAAGTCATAGAATTAGTGAGGCAATAAATGAACATGCAACAATATATTCATAAATATGCATGTATCTATTACACAATAACATATATAATCATATCATGCATGTACAAAACTTACCTTCTTGTACCACTTTCACTTTACTTTGTGTTTCAATTGCCCATATATATTATTGAGAATAGAGGTATGTGAGTACATAGAGGTTGTGCACTAATGCTGTCACCACAGCTCGTATCAATTCCCTCATGGGGCACCGAACCTTAGTTCAGTATTCGTCCCGAAGGACTGTCATATATGTCTCGTAGGACCACTACATCCCAAAGGACTACGTCCCGAAGGACTATTATACCCTCGACTCTTGGCATGCCAATTACACCTATAGCTCTCATATCGTATACTATAGGCATTATTCTTATATTTATCATGTACTCATGTCATGTTCATGTATCTCATGTCATTTCTCTTGTGATCATGTAGCTCATGTCATGTCTCATATCACATGTGTATTTGAATCTATTCATATATATACATCATTTATCCAATCACATGAACATATATATGCCTTATGCATGTATTACAATAATTATCATGTATGCATGTTCACAACTATTGTACATAAAAATCAATATAGGAATTAGACTTATCACAAGTCTTATTCAATTATACTATACATATAGTATGCACTCATCTTAGCTTTGCTTTGATTCGATTCTAATCCTTTGATCGTTCCGGAATAAGCTTACTTTTAGTATCTACATAATCACACATGGATCTATATCAGTATTATAGCTAATATACTCTAATGGTTCACTCTTTAGATTAAGATAAATGTCAATTTTCTCTTTTAATGAAGGTATGCATCGATGCACTACTTGTGCATCGGTGCATAAAATGCATTCGATGTTTTATTATTAATGGAATGCATCGATGCATGCCTTATGCATCGATGCACTAATTGCATTCGATCTTTTTATTTTAAAAGAGTGCATCGATGCACTACCTGTGCATCGATACACCTTCAAACAATTTCTGGGTTTTAACCTTGATGCATCGATGCACTATGAATATGCATCGATGCACTCTGCCTAGAATCCTCTTTTTGAACCCGAAAATTCATTCATTTTGGATTAAATCCTTCATGTTTAATCCTCTTTTTCATTCTTAACTATAGTACACATCCTTAAACCAATTTATACTCATTTATTTCATCTTAAACCTCCAAATTCTATCCTTCATATGTAATTTAAGAATTACATCAATAAATCAACATGTTTGAATTCCACTTTTAACACTTCGTATATCTTAACTAGATTAATGACAAGTCAAATTTAACTTTCAATTCTAGTTATGAACTCTATTCCAAGATATCATTTAAGAACTTCAAATCTTAAATCTCTCCTAACTCAATCATCCTTTGATGTTAAGATAACTTAAGCTTTCCTTAAGCTTAGTTATTATCTAATAATCAAAACCTAATATTAAATTTAACGAGAAACTCAATAATCAGAAATCTTACCTTTGCTTTTGTTCACACGCACAAGGAAGAAAGAAGAAGAAGAGAACTCTGGAAGTCTTGGGTGTTTTCTCCCCTTCCACCCACGTATATCCTTATATATACATACTTATCCCTTCTTTAATTATTTTTCCTTGCAATTACTCTATTGTCCTTTCATTCATTCTTCCTTTCAATTCCATCCTACACAATAATTTACATGTAAATCTTTATACTCTTCATTCATTTTATTTTAACCACCAAATTCTGAGACTTTACAATTTAGTCACTAACCCGGTATTGAGGATGTTACAACTCTCCCCCTTAAGAAAATTTGTCCTCAAATTTTCATTATGCAAAGAGGTAGGGGTACTTAATCCTCATGTCCTCTTCGCGTTCCCATGTTGCTTCCTCTACTTTGTGATTCCTCCACAAGACTTAACCAATGGAATAGTCTTGTTCCTTAGTTGCTTGACTTCGTGAGCTAATATTTGAACAGGTTCTTCCTCATAAGTTAAATCTGGTCGAACTTCAATTTCTTCAGGAGTCACAATGTGGGATGGATCGGATCGATATTTCCTAAGCATTGAGACATGAAAGACATTGTGTATCTTTTTCATTTCATGTGGCAAAATTAGCTGATATGCTACTGGTCCTACTCTCTTAGTAATCTCGTAAGGTCCAATGAATCGAGGACTCAACTTTCTTTTCCGTCCAAACCTTAATACTTTCTTCCACGGAGACACTTTCAAGAACACTTTATCTCCGACTTGAAATTCAATCTCTTTCCTTTTTAAATCAGTATATGATTTCTGTCTATCAGTTGCAGCTTTCAGATTATTCTGAATTACTTGAACTTTTTCTTCCATATTCTGAATCAACTCAGGACCAATAACTTCTCGATCCTTCAGTTCATACCAGTTCAAGGGCGTACGACATCTTCTTCCGTATAGAGCTTCATAGGGAGCCATTTTGATGCTTGATTGATAACTATTGTTGTATGCAAATTCAGCAAGTGGTAAATACCTTTCCCACGATCCTTTGAATTCAATGACACAAGCTCTTAGGATATCCTCCAGAATTTGAATAGTTCACTCGGATTGACCATCGGTTTGAGGATGAAACGTTATACTGAAGTTCAACCGAGTTCCCAGTGCTCCATGTAATGACTTCCAAAACCGTGATGTGAATCTAGGATCTCGATCAGAAACTATGGAAATAGGTACACCATGCAAACGTATAATCTCTCTAATGTACAGTTCCGCATACTTATCCATGGAGAAATCAGTTCGTACCAAAATAAAATGGGCTGACTTAGTCAATCTATCTACGATCACCCAGATTGAATCCTTTTTGTTCGGAGTTAAAGGCAACCCCATTATAAAATCCATCGTTATGTTTTCCCCATTTCCATTAAGGAATTGAAATTGGTTGTAACAATCCTGACGGAACCTGATGCTCAGCTTTGACTTGTTGACAAGTCAAACACTTTGATACAAATTTCGTAATGTCTTTCTTCATTCCTGGCCACCAATATCGACTCTTGAGATCCATATACATTTTATTCCCTCCCGGATGCATTGTCAATGGACTACAATGAGCTTCCGTTAACAAATCATTCTTTAATTCATCATCATCCGGAATTACCAATCTTTCTCGATAATACAAATTCTCATAAGACTTAATCTCATAATCCGTACCCTCTCTATTTCTTATCTGTTGTATCTTCTTTAAACACTTTTCATCTTTAGCTTGCAATTCTTTAATTTGATCTAGCCATGCTGGCTTGACAGTCAATTCTGCACAAATTGCACCATCTTCTCTTAACGATAATCTAGCATCAAGAGTTCGCAAAGCTGCAAACGTCTTTCTACTCAAGGCATCAGCTACCATATTTACCTTTCCGGGATGGAAATCAATCAAAAACATCATAATCCTTGAGAAATTCCACCCATCTTCTTTGTCTTAAATTCAACTCTTTCTGAGTCATCAAGTATTTTAAGCTCTTGTGATACGTATACAAGTAGCACTTTTCACCATACAAGTAGTGACGCCAGATCTTTAAAGAAAACACTACTGCCGCCATCTCTAGGTCATGTGTTGGATAATTCTTCTAGTGCGGTTTTAGTTGTCTCGAAGCATAGGCCACCACCTTACCTTCTTGCATTAGTACGCATCCCAAACCACTAGGAGACACATCACTATACACTATAAAGTTCTTACCAGACTCAGGTTGAACTAACACTGGAGCTTCTGTAAGAATCTTCTTTAACTTTTCAAAACTCTCTTGACATTCTT